CACACACACACACACACACACACACACACACACACACACACACACAGGGTTCCGAAAGGGGGTCCGAAATCCGCCGACAGGTGAGTTTGCTGGGGGGCCCCGGCCCCCAACTGGGTGCCCTGCCCGGCCAGGCCGCCCGGGACCTCCCCCGGGCCCCTGCCGGTCACCCCGGCGGCCCGGATCCCCACTCAGAAAAATCCATCATAAATCAGTCCTCGTGGCAGACAGTTGCCGCTCCTCGGAGGTTGTAGTGTGGCATAAGATAAACGTGTCAGAAGGCAAAGAATCGTGGTTGGTTACGGACCTTACGGTAACTGAAAAGTTGTGAAAAATGTCTTCAGATACGAAAGGAGTAATTAAATCCACTCATGGTGCTAGAACCAAGCCCGAACGTTGTAGTAGCGGGGGAAACCCTCTGGATACTGTACCAGCGCTCGATGTGATGTAGTAAACCCGGCTTGGTATCACGATACAACTCCGGTAAAGAGTAGCCACAAACGAACAAGCAACAACAGCACGTAGCTCAATGTTGGAGAGTGTCAAATCGGAAAGAAGTCGAACGAAGGCAGGGAAAAAAGAGGGAAAAAAAGGAGAACAACAAAAAGAAAAAAGAGAAAAGAGAATGAGGGAAAAAAAGAGGCGCGGAAATGGAGGTCTTTTTTTTTACAAGATCGCAAATTCGATGGGGGCCGCGACCTCGCTTAGCCGGCGCACTGCGCTCCGCTAAGCGTTGGGCTCAGCAGAACCTGAGCCGCCATTCAGAACGCTACCACCGCTGATACCGCCCTGGAATCGTCCCTCCATACGCTCTCCTTGCACAGTGGATATGGCACACTTTTAGCCATAGGAGTGGGCGATAGGAGGAGGAAGCGTTCGCCCCCTTTTTTTTTTTTTTCCTTTTTTTTTGGGACAACTGCTCCAATCTATTCATGGGGAGCAAGACGTGCTGGGAACCGGGCTCAGCGTCCCATGTAGAATATACAAATGATTTGAAATACCAGGGTCATTACCTGGCTTCGACTAAGAACAATCTGAAAATTATGAAAAAAGTTCAGGAAGATTTAGGAAAAACGTGGATAACTGTTGACCTATTGCTAGGCTACTCAAGCAGTCCAGAAGTCTGCATTGAAGGAAGCTAACGCTGAGTTGTTGCAAGATTGAAGTAGAAAGAAGTGCGAGAAGTCGTAGTAGGTCAGTAGGATGGAAGCCACTCCAGTTCAAGAGGGAACAGGGAGGTCCCCTCCACCAGGTCCACACGAAGAGAAGGACTACTGGGAGGATGAAGACAGGATCAGAAGCCTGTTGGCGATGTGTTTCGACGATGGAGTATACCCAACCGAGATAGACCCAGGGAAGATGGCGGTCGAAGGTAGGGAGGTTAGGTTCAAACTCAACACCTCGCTTGACGATATCAAGGTCAAATGGCTCAAGGAGCGAACAGTGACAGTCATCCACAAGGATGCTGCTAGATTCCTGCCGAAGAATATCAAGGACGATCTCGAACGGACCTTTGAGGACGGATGGATAATTGGAAACGAAGACCTACAGCAGAACCAAAGAAGAGGGAGGATTAAAATAGAAGGTCTGGGAGTAGCTTCCTACGTAGCAAAAGCAAAAGAGGCGGTGAAGTACATGATCTCGGAACAACTGGTAGACGTGACGTTAGGGAACACATCCTACACAATCCTGTTCAAACCATGGATGACCCGCGCACAGTTTAGAGAATTAAGGAAGCAGGAGGAGGATGGGTATTCTGGGTGACGGCACTTCAAATCCCGCTGGATGACGTGTCGTTTATTTATGTGCAGATACGAAAGGCAATAGGGAAGATTATCTTAGCGCATCCGACAAATGCTGACCCGATGAGACCGGCCTTAATTAATGCCCGCTTCAACCTCATTCCAGAAGATCGTCCTAACATGAAGGATGTTCTCTGGATAGAGACGACGAAGGGAGATGTCCTCAAGATTAAATTAGCATCGGCAGAAACAACCAAGTGTAGGTTATGTAAGCGATTCTTCCACATCGAGCAAGAATGTCGCAGAGGGCAACGTGCAGGAGGAACCTGGGCAACGCAGGGCCGACAAATCAAGCATTGACAGCCAACAGCGTCGGCCAGACGAAGGATACCCATTGGGTCCTAGAATCACAACCCCCGCTCCATCCAGGTGGGCGAGCCACATGGGGACAGTGCGGACTAACCCGACTTTCTCCCCACAGGGCAACGGTGGGAATCATCGAGGAGGATATCAACCAGGAGAAGAAGTGCCGCAAGGAGGAATGGGGGCGGCAACCCCCATCAGGGAGAGAAGGTTAACAACAGTCGTATTTTTCATCACCACTTCAAGACACCCTTCACCACTTCAGCATGCAGCCTGCCTAAACAGGTGGTTTTTAGGGTCTTCGAACCTTTCACCACTTCAGGACACCCTTCACCACTTCAGGATGCAGCCTGCCTAAACAAGTGGTTTTCAGGGTCTTCGGACCTTCACCACTTCAGGACCATTCAGGATTTTCAGACTGCCCAAAACTCTCACTTCACTACTTCAGGATGCATCCTGCTTAAACAGTTGGTTTTCAGGGTCTTCGGACCTTTCACCACTTCAGGACCATTCGGGATTTTCAGACTGCCCAAAACTCTCACTTCATAATTTTCATTCCTGAATTTTCAGTTACCCATTAACCGCTTCTGCCATCAGGGTTAGATGGGCGGGGGTTTGCCTGGAGGCATCCCCCAAGGCGTCGGTCAGACCAGAGGACAGGGGCCTTATGGTATGCCCTACCACCAGGGGGGCCAGTCGAGACTGTGACAAGGAGGGGGGAGATCGATGGATTGACTCTTAGTCAATGACATCCAGTGCCATCCACACGACGATGTGGGCAAGAGTGTGCTTAAAGTACAAGGAGGAGCTTCAGCGAGAAACCAAGTGGACGGAAACGTACAGCAACCAGGACCTATAGTCGGTCAGACCAGAGGACAGGGGCCTTATGGTATGCCCTACCACCAGGGGGGTCAGTCGGGAGTGTGGCAAGGAGGGGGGAGATCGATGGATTGGCTCTTAGCCAATGGCATCCAGTGTCATCCACCCGACGATGTAGGCAAGAGTGTGCTTAACGTACAAGGAGGAGCTCCAACGAGAAACTAAGTGAAAGGAAATGTACAGCAACCAAGACCCATAGTCCCTGATTGGACCAACCAGCTACAAGGAGGAGGATTTGGAGGTACAAGTACCTCACAACCCCTTGGGGGAACGTTAATAGATAGAGGTGAAGGTGGATAGGTGGGCCCAAGCGCGCTGTCCGATCTAGGACTGACTAAGTCTCGAGGAGCAGAAAAACGGAGAAGGCTTAGTATGACGTCACAATTGGAGATCACGCCGAAACTATCGCGAGGCTCAAAACTTTCAAGGAGTGGCTCAGAAAAGTCAGTGAGCCACGAAGTTGGAATGGTAACACCGGGGCAAGAAACGACGATAGACCGAAGACTTGTCTCATTACGAGATCAATTTTCTGAGATGCCACAGTACTTAGTACCTTTGGTATGTACGTCACTCTGAAACGCGCAATGAGTGGTGACGTGGTAGAAGAGTTCCGGCCCGCTGACAATCTTCGAACAGATGGTCATGACGACTCCGGCAATTCTGAAAATCGAGGACTGTCCGAAAACTCTGTATCTGGACTAATTTCCAACGAGAGTCATTCTGGACATCATGATGCCTAGGATACTATTCAGCCCGACAGGGAACAAAGTGAGGTTCTATGTTCCACTAATTGATGCAAGATTGACGGAGGATAAATTAATGGAGCTCGAGGCACTTGGGTTGAGGTTAGTCCCTCTTACTTTTTTTTCGAAAGCCAAAAAGCAAGAGCTCGCGCGGTTCATGATCTCTTTGGTCATGATGACAGCGGATGCTATTGCAGAATTAAAGATCAGGCTACCCAAGGATAAGAAGCTCGACCCCAAATTCCTGAAGACAGCTCTCTCCTAGAGCTGGACAGGCGAAAGAACGATCTTCGCTCATATCCAACTGCAACAAGGAGCTTTGAGGATCAATGGGTAAGATCAGGATAGCAACTTGAAATTTGCAGGGTCTTGTGGATACAACGGGCAGGAGAAAATGCGCAAGGGTCAAATCCTGGCTGCACGAAAACAAAGTGTTGATAGCATGTTTCCAGGAGACGAAGCTGGATAACGAGAAGATTGGGTTGTTGGGAAGATGGTGGGACGGTGTACAAATGTGGTTAGCGGCGAAAGAGACAAGAGGAGGAGTTGGAATATTGATACATAGGGACTTAAAAGCTTAAATAGTGGACTACTTTGCAGATTTATGGGGCCGCTGGGCCGGGGTAACGCTGAAACAATGGGACATCGCGTGGACAGTTGTTTCAGTATATGCCCCAGTGAGAAGAAAGGAGAGAGTTTCATTCTTCGAAGAACTTCATGTGGTTCTCCCAGATGTTGGCGAAGTAATTATTGGCGGGGACTAGAATACTGTGCTGGATATACCGTCGGACCAGAGGATGAAAGGCAACTCGAAGGATGTGTTCTCCCTGGTTGATCTAATGATGAATTTGGATTTGCATGACTCCAAAGATTTGCGCCCCACTGAATCCGGGTACACTTGGTTCTCGCATCGAGGAAAACGAAGAAGGCTAGACTATCTACTTGTTAGAGGGAGTCTCACAGAGCAAGTGATTAACATCGAAGAAGTCATTTATCACGTCTTGGACCATAAACCAGTAATTGGACAGTTTAATTTCGACAGAGACCAGCCGAGAGGTCGAGGTTACTTTAAGGTTAACACATTGAACCTGCGCATCGATGGCTTGAATCAATGCATGCAAGGGTTTTGGAAGCGTTGGGAAAAGCAAAAAGAGTAGTTTGCAATGCTAGCACACAGGTGGGAAGCAGGCTCAAGGATACTCTCCAAGCTCCTGGACGTCAACTCTCGAATCCTTGCATTGAACAGAAACAAGGAGAAAAGGAGATGCTGGAAGCGGGTTCAGGTAGCCAAGGAAAAGATGAAGAGGCACCCCATCTCAGAACTCACTTGGGGAAAAGAGTGGGCCCGGAGACTGGCAGAATGGGACAAAAAACAGCAAGAGAAGTCTGAGTTATGGGCAGAAAGACTCAAAATCAAGGGACTGGAAGTTTATGGCAGGATGACCAAAGAGACATTTCCAAAGTTATTCCCGGCGAGGTCTGCCCCCGGATTGAAAGAGCTTAGACACCCCTTTGACTCCAATGAACCAGCAGCAGTTTTACTCAAGGACCTATGCAGATATGTGTCGTTATATTATCAGGACATTTTAACCTCGAGAAGGCAAGGGGAAGGTGCAGACACAGATTTGGCGGTGGATTCGGACCACTGGAAGAATACGACAGTACGGCTATCTACGCAAGGGCGTCTAGATCTGGATCGACCAATTATGAAGGAGGAAGAAGAAGAAGCCATGAACGCCATGGCGAATGGAAAGACCCCAGGGAACAAGGGGCTCCCTGCGAAGTTCTATCGCCAACACTTGGATGTGTTGGGGGAAGACCTAGTAGAGATGTACAACGAGATCCAGATGGGAGGTAGACTGCTGGTCATCGCTTCAAGAAGGATAATATCTATTATGTTTAAGAAGGGAGACACAAGTGAAATCTGAAATTGGAGGCTGATTTCCTTACTTAACGTCTCCTACAAAATTTTAGCAAAAGTTTTGGTTCGGAGATCGGGCAGGTATCTACCAGTCCATGTAGAAGATGACCAGGCAGCCTTCGTAAGAGGCTGATCTATCTACGAAAATATCATTACCGTAGTGGAAGTGTTAGAGGTAGTCGGTTAGGAGGACTTGGATGTCACAGTGCTATGGAGAAGGCATATGACCCGGTAAACTGGTCGTATGTCCTGACATCTCTCAGACGGATGGCTTTCGGAGAGATTTTTTGAAATTGGGTCATTGCCATGTACTCTATCTTAACGGCCTCTGTTATGGTAAATACTCATATTTCAGCCCCATTCCGACTTTCACGTTCATTACGCTAGGGTTGCCCCCTGGCGCCACTGCTGTTTGTAGTCCACATGGAAATACCGCTGAACAACATCAGACTTGATGCTCAGATCCTGGGCATCGATGCGGGACAACGAGCCTGTAAAGTGAAAGTGCTAGCATACGACCTCTTTGCAGTCTTTGCCAACACAGACGAGTCAATGTCAACCCTACGATACTGTCTTAGACAATATGAGGAACTGTCAGAAGCAGCCATCAACTGGTCCAAATTCGTTTCCATTCTTCCATCAAGGTTTACCCCGACGGTTGATTGGGGTATGAAATGTGTACTGGACGATAACTTCGAAAGATTTTTAGCAGTCCAAGTCGCACTCACGTCATGTGTTGTCAGGCAAGAAGATATTCTTCAATCTAGGGTATTACAGAGAATATCTACTTGGGGGAAAGCCCCGCATTTCTCTCTCTTCGGGCGAATATGGCACTTTTTGCGCTTCTTACCTTTGTGGGAAATGTGAGACCAATCGGCAAGAAGATGCAAACTGTAGTGAGGAGGAAAGCCTCGAAGTTTGTGTGGAAACCTTTTGCAGAGGAAGGGGAGACAGTAATGTCCAAAGTAGCATGGGACTTGATTTGTGCTCCTAGTATAAGTGGTGGCCTGGGAATGGTAGATCCAGGGAGGAGCAACCTAGTTATGTTAGCTAGGTGGGTCGTCTGGGCAATCACTACGCAAAAGGATAAGCACTCGATCTCCTTAGGCGAGCGTATGTTGAGTAAGGACCGACAACTCAGACGAAAGTCTGATATATGGGCATGCATGTGGATAGACTCTTACC